AGATACAAACAGACAAGAAAAGATAATAAAGATAAAAAAGCAGACATGAACAAACAAAAACAGGAGAGAGAAGACAAGAGCAGACGTGAGCAAGCAAGAAAGGAAGTTAAAAGACACCTTAAAAACAAGAACAGACAAAACAACAAATTATACAACGCAAAAAAAGGAAAAACAAGAAGAAAGAACAACAAACACCAACAAAGACAAATGACAAAAGAACAAGCGAGAAAATAGAATAGAAAAACTGACAAAAGAAAAGAAGAGGAATGATCCAAATTTTTGTAACCTGTTGCGATAACAACTCCGACTGCAATGAGATCTACAAATATAACGTAGAGAAGGAACTTGATAAACCCCCAGAAATGGATTCCAAGACTCAGAGAGAACCCGGCCTGAAAACCAAAATAACTACTAAACTAGCCTGGATATTTCTTTCCTTAAAAGGGTCTGTTAGCGTAATTTCAAGTGACCCTCCATGCAAATATGGCAATGCCCAATTCACAACGGTACCATTAAAAACTTTGACTGATCAAGGTTGAATTCGATATCATTGTTTAATGTTTATAAATAATTTTTTTTTTAAATTGTGGTTTCTCTACAAGAGACTTGCGCATTTCTACTGCAGGAATCATATATGAATTAACAAGTTTAACACATTTAATCTTGGTAAAATGGCAATATCTTCTCCATTATTGATAAGATAAAGTTTCAATGGTTCCATTTCAAATCGGGTATTCATATCTTTGCATTAAAAGTTCATTTGAAATTGCAGTTCCTTTAATTCAGAACTCTGAAACTTTTAAATTATTCATTTTCTAAGTTAAAACTTACATTGATAGTTATATGTAAATTAAACCAGTTCTACAAGAGCCGGAAAAATGAACAATTTTTCAGTGCTTAGGATCCGGATCCGTTGAATCCGCAAGATTTTGGCTTCCTGGATAATTTATTTGAGAAAAGGTGGCAGCACTAATCAAAGTAGCTTTCTGATTTCATTTCATAAATTGATTGCAGTGTCTTGTTTTTAAGATCCATTATGAATTTGAAATTAATTCCAAGTACAATTTCCTAAGTTTAAGATAGTTTGCCGCGTTCAAATCAAATTCGTAAAAAGCTTTCCCTTTTCCTCCGTCGATAGGGGTCGCATATGTATGTGTTTGTGGTCGGACAATACTCAGACACTGATAACTCATGGAAGAACGCGTTTGAACAAAACACTATTTCTCCGTACATTTCACGACCAATATAGGAGACGTGAAGTTGTCGACCAATGTAGTTTATGGAAGGAACGGCCTCTGAAGTGAAATATCCTCCTAATCTTTCTCTTAAAAAATGGAAGGGAATCTCTAGTGTCAAGCTGTACACTGTCAAATTGTCCAACAGCGAATGTAGACAATATTAGGGGGGAAGGGAAGGATACGTCCACCCCCCCCCATTCTAAAATTATTTTACCCTACGTAGAAACCCTGGAACAGTGTATTTAATTGCTTCTGAGATAAAATAAGATAAAATAAATTATTAAAGTTAAAAGATAAGTCTCCCCTGAAAAAGGGAAAGAGAATTCAACCCCTGAGGGTGTTTAAGTTCATTTTTGTCAGTTGTTTAAACCCGCAAGTACTTTTTATGGAGAACCCACAATGGATAATTATGATTTTCCAGATAGAAAATCAAGGATATCAAAATCAAGTTTTTTTCAGACAAAGGTTCATATGGTACCCTTGTGAATCGGACCCGTCTCTCTTTAAATGAAGTATTTTACGTCGATTGTCCCTTAAAGATCCTGAATTTACAATAAATCAGTTCAGACCATAGAATTTGGATTCTCTGAATTTCTCAGATTTTTGATCTGCAGTGCAGACTGCAGTTATGGATTTTTTCCCAAATTGATAGAAAAATAGAAAAAATGTTTTTGATTCTTTCAAAGTATTTATTTTTTATCCAGATAAAACTTTCTTAAAGCGTAAAGATATTTTTATTCTTAAAAAATAAAAAATGTCTTTTGATTACTTTGTATCGTTTGGCCGCGGCCGTCATACAGCCGGCTCTGGTTGTGGAGGGAGCGGGGAGGGGAGACTTCACTCGACTTGATCCTAAAAATTAAAATTTATTCGATTAAAGAGTAAATATTTTTATATACTTTACCATAACACAAATATAAGGAGGGGTAAAAACTTAAAAACTTAGCTTAAGGATCATTGATTTAGATTTGGAATGGATATCTAAGTTTCTTAGGGTCGTTAAACAAAGTCAGAAAGGTTTTTTATTTAAACCTTTTCGATATTGTTATACGCAAAATTTCATTTATATAATCTAATTCAGCAAATAAAATGAATTTACCTTGATTAGGTGATGTACGTAATCTATCCAACCTGCCAGCTACAGAATCCATAATTTTATATTTATCATTCCTATACAACTTTTCTAAAACAGAGATACTTTTAGAACCCTTGGACAATACCCGTTCAAATCATCGTATCTGACCAGAAATCTCTAGGTTGTCAATTATAATTTAAAATTATATGACCTTTCAAAAGCGATATAACGAAATATTAACAGTAAAAAATCAAAGGATTTATTGTAGCGTAAAATACTTTTTTATCTAGAATGCGTATTTATGTTTGATCACAAAGAGACGCATTTTAAAATATTAAAATGTTTGAAATTGCTTTTTAAGTGTGCGCCATTGGAACCAAACATAGATTTTTATAACAATCATTGGAACAAATTCACAATTACTTACAGAAGATTTGTAAATACTTCTTATAAATAATTTAATATCAATAGAGAATCTCAAAAGCAGAAAATCTCGTCCAGAATAAATAGAGTTTTGTTCATCAGTAAAATTAGTGTAACACGAACGTCAAAACTCAATCGTCACCAAAAACACATGTTTAATTCCACATCATGCATGAAATTTGAAATTTCGTCGAACAAGTGACGAAAATTAGAAAAACTAAAACTTAATTTCTTGAATATTTTGTTTAAATCTAGAAAACTAAAATTGTTATTTTTTAGAGTACAGTAAAATAGGGGCTAATTTTCGTAATTAAGCACAATTTTGAAAAAGGTAAAAATCAGAAACAAGTCAAAAAAATGAACGCGGCTTGAGAGATTTTTGATGACGCAACACGAAGACGACCAAAAGTTGAAAAAATACAAGAAAAATTTTGAATTTCACTCTTTTTTGCAAAGATGAAAAATTAAAAAAAGTAATTAAAAGAAACAAATTTGATGAAGTAAATTTCTAAATGAATTTTTTACCAAAACATAAATAAATAAAATTATGAAGATTATTTTGTTTTTACAATACGCGCAAGTGCCGCGTTGTAACTTCATTTCAGCATGCGCAACAATTTTTTAGAAAAAGAGTGCGTTTTTGTATCATTTCAAGCTTGGTAAAGAACTATTTGATAAAGCAAATCTTGTTCTAAGCTTTTCCTATTTTTAGAAAACCTACAGCTTAATTTACCAGAAGTATAAAATTGAAATGGTTTGTGAAAATGTCTGTTAAATTAAATATGTTGATTGTCTAGAAGTTAATAATGCTGGGACTAGTTTGAAATGAACTCTGCATTCGAATCAATTTATACAGGTTTGTTGTGCTTTTCATAGTTGTAATAAGACTTTGGGGGACAAGAAATATTTAGATAATAATTTTGATAATATAGAAATTAAAGATGCATGATGGGCGTATTTTATGAAAATAGTTGAAAATCTTTCTGGGTATTATACAACATTTTGTGTTAAGTGTGGGATTGGAGTAAGAAGAGTGGAGGACAAGTTCTGAATAATTGGATTCATCCATCTTGCGGGAGTAGAGATATTGGGGTTCAGACCCAAATTCAAGGTACAGATTACAGGGTGTTTCGTATCTTATAGATCTAACAATTAACCAACATTACACGCACTTGACTATAGCCTCTTACCAATTGCCAAGAATGCTGTTAAGAAATTCCTTCGTAAATTTTTTTTTTGTACTCAAGTAACAAATGGGTTTTTGTTTGTTAGCAATTCATTTAGTTAATGTTTAATTTTCATATCTAGTTATAAGTTATAAAGATAACCTACCCTTTGGTCTCACCAGCTTTGCTAACTTTGAAAGAAGTTTAGTATATATTGCAAACCAAAAAATTATCAAGCAATTTTTTTATTTTCATTTTAAATATGTATCTAGGTTTAAGCAAGGAAGTGATCTCAACAACAGTTGCAGAGATGCCAGTTTCAAGTTTTGTCAGGATTGCAGGACTCTCGGGAGCACTTGCTGTTTCCTTAGGTAATAGGATAGCCGGGAGTCTTAGGAAGCAATAGTTGTTTGCATAGGTAATAGGATAGCAGAACATTCAGGAGCACTAGGGAATTCTTTAGGTAAGAGAAGGACTTTCTGGATCATTAGTTGTTTCCTCTGGTAAAAGAAAACAGCATTCTCTGGAGTACTAGTTGTTGCATTAGGTTTTAGGATAGGAGGACTATAAGAAGCACTATTGGACTATAGTATGGCATGAGTTTGATCAACCAGATTACTGTTTAGTGTGTAGAGCTCTATCTTTTTAAAACAACCCTAGCCAATTTTTTCAAATTTATTTTTATGTAGAAGAAGATATCACTCTTGTTTATGTAAAGGGTTGATGATCAGTCCAAATAAAATCCTAGATAAATTAAATTACTAAATTAAATTACTTGATTAATTGAAATACTTAAGATTTCTTATTTAGGGGCATATGGTGCGCATGTGCTCTCTGTGGATCCTGACAATGCAAAGCTGCGCGCAACCTTTGATACTGCAAACAAATACCACCTTGTTCATAGTGTGGCGCTTCTTGCTGTTCCACTAGCTCGAGTGCCTAGGTAGTATATTTTATGTGAGTTAGGGGTTTAATGGCAGACCTGAGGACCTGAGGAAAGCAAACATTTTGGAAGGAAATATTATGTGATTTTATTCTTGAAAAATACTAATTAAGCATTAAGAAAGAAATACAATTAGATAAACAAGTTAGATGAAGATTATTTTTGGGCTTTTTTTAATGATATTTTTCTGTCAATCTTAACTATTTAGGTTGTCTGGATCACTGTTTCTAAGTGGAATGGTTGTATTTTGTGGAACAACTTACTATCATGCCCTAACCCAAGATACAACAGTTAGGTAAAGGATCTCCATTCATCATCATCACACCTTTTTTCTTCTCCTCACTTGTTTTTCATGATAATTTAACTCACTTCATTGCAATTTTCTTTATCTTCTGCATCTACTTCTCTTTAACCACATTCTTCCTTCTAAATATTTCTTATCTTCTTTTATCTTTCTTGCTAATTTTACTTTATTCTAGGCAATACACACCATATGGGGGAGTTCTTCTCATCCTGGCATGGCTGTCTCTCATTCTGTAGATCAATGGGCAATCTTAGTTCATTTTAGTGTACATTTGGAGATCATTGGAGAATGAAGGGTTCTCAGAGAACTTTTATGATCACCTTATTTCTTCATTGATCAAAGAGACTCTTTGAGATTCCTGAGTGATCATAGATATCTCCATTTTTATTTAGTTATAGATTTCCCGTAAAGATATTGGGAAACATAAAATGTATTGAATAGTTCTGTTTATAAGCTTCCTATGCAGATTGCTATAGAGAAACAAGACCGGTCATTTATGTCTTTAAACCAATAACCATTCTATCTTCAAGTAGAATGAAATGAATGCAATAGAAGCTTGTTAGGGCAATTTCCAAGAAGAAATTCTAACCATGTTCAATTTGGAGTGCCATGGTCCCGTGCTCAAGTAACTCAAGTAATGTTTATACTGCCTTAGAGACTGAAAATGACCCCTGAATAAGAAGTTTGCTGTTTGATAGTTGGATTATCGCAGATTGGATTTTCTTGCTCTTATCAAATATCAATGACCATGATGAGTGCTGAAGACTTCTGTGGTACCTGTGCAGGCGTTAAAGGACCAGGTTCATTGTATGTCCTGTTTTGGCATGGCATGTAATTCCACTGAAAGATTGTTGTCTTCTGAGATGGTGGACTAGGCTTTCCGACATTTTTAACGCTATTCTTGTGTTTAAGGCTTCTAGCTATTTACTGGTCAAAGCCATGTACCAGTCCAGTATCCTTTACTGCACTTTTGTCCTCAACAAACTTCCTACTCCTCTAAGCCACATGTACCAGTCCAGCACAGCCTTCTTCCTACCTAACCAGATTTAATCAAACTAAATATTCCAGACTTCTTGAGATCCACCATACTGAAATCACCTCACTTTTCCCTCATTTCTTCTCCTTGCCATTTTACCTTATGAAACCTCCTCCCAGCAGACGCCCTGCTATATGCAAAAAGCATATATTTGTGTGGACTAAGTAGAAGTTGGCTCTAAGAGTTTCTCTCCTTCAGTGTCTGATGTTGCCCTTAGGGCTATGGTTTACTCAGGTTCCTGGAATCCCTACTTCTGGTGTGCTTACATCCAGGGTTTAATAATAGAACATGCCCTAGGCGATTAACATCAGACAACCCCAGGCGTGGTTGCACATATGTATTTCTTAGGGGAAGTACTGAGGGGTGTGACTTGCCTGAGGACCAGAATACCCCCAGCAGTTTGTCTTTAATAAATAAAAAGCTGGAGCTGTAAATGGAGAATACAATCTCTTCAGAACCTCAACTACCTATGGACCAACTCAGCTTAAAATGTAAAAATAATAGTTGTAGATCTGCAAGGGAACTGACATGGAAACCCCAGACTGCATGGTGTGTTGCATCAACATGCAACCTGAAATTATCTGGGCTAGCACACAATTTTCAACGCCCGTGCATTAGTAATACAATTCTGGTGGCTAGCAGCCACATTTTACATTTAACACTGCACAGTTTTAGCGGAAATCTAGTGGAGATTTAGTATGTAATTCCACGGAAAGAGTGCTATCTCATTGTCATGAGTGTGGTATGAATGTTATTAGTATGGCCTAATGATATGAACAAAATTGATGCAACTATCCCTTTACAGTTTCAGTGGAGATCTAGTTGAGGTTTACTATGTAATTCCACGGAAAAAGTGCTGTCTCAGAGTGGTCTCATTATAATTGCCTGCTAGCAAACATGCCTTCCTGGATAGTGAAGAACATAAATATTCATCCTGGGCCTTTATTTTGGGAGGAGGAAGGATGGACTCTCCACTCTATAAGCTGAGCAGTGAACCATCTACTTCCCCTGAAATTATCTGAATAACCTTTCTGTTTCATTCATAGCCTACAGGATATGATACTTTGACTGTAGGTTGAATAATAATAATATTAATAAAAATAAGAAAAGGGAAATATTTATTGACTTCCATAGTTATATTGGTTGGATCAGATATTCACCAATACAAAACAAGCTTTCTAATTCTTAAGAACTGAACGATGATTTTGTAGAAAAACAATGAAATATATTTCCTACTTTGAAGTTGTGCATTCTACAGATAGAGAACACTTTTAACCAATTCGGATGTTTACAGCATTCAATTTACTGAACATACCAATGCATTCTATATATTATGCATTATGGCCAGCCAGCATACTGGTTATAAGGTAATCCCAGTTTCATCAAGCAGATGAGAACAATAATTCTCTAGGTGAACTACAACAGACAACCCCAGGCGTAATTGAGCACATATTGTTCATTGGAAGTACTAATGGGTGAGAAGAGAATTGCCTTTGGACCAGGATACCCAAAGTGATTTCTTTAAATAATAAATGCATCGGTTTCAGTTTGATTTTAAGAAGGATCAACTACTCTGAAGTATTTCTGGAAGAATTATAGGATTATGCTGATTTCAAGCCAATGTCTTGTCTACTTCTAATCCAATTATATAAAGTACTTCTGGAAGCATTAGAGGATCACACTAACTTCAAGCTGATGTCGTATCTACTACTTTATCCAACTATATGGAGTACTTAGTAGAAGCATTAGAAGAATACACTGATTTCAAACCAATAAACCAATGTCTTGTCCTACTTCTTAATGCAACTACTTAATTTTCTAATTGCAATACATTTTATATTCCCTTCATCTTTGAAAATTTTATTTTTCTTGTGTTGATATTTAGTATTAATAGTATTAAAACATTTATCTTCTTTTCAAGGAAAATAGAAAGAAAAAGAAAACAAAACTTGCCTGTTGATGTCCAATTTTTAATTTTTTCCCCCAGATCTCCAAAAATCATTTCATCCCACACAGGGTAAATAGCATGAAAAAGAAATAAAAAACTTGCCTGTTCATGTCCAATTTTTCATTTTTTTACCCAGATCTCCAAAAATCATTTCATCCCACCAGGGTAAATTGCATGAAAAAGAAATGAAAAACTTGCCTGTTCATGTCAAATTTTTTATTTTTTTCCCCCAAGATCTCCATAAACCATTTCATCCCATCAGGGTAAATAGTATAAATAAGAAAAGAAAAACTTGTTTTTCCATGTCCAATTTTTTCATCTCCAAAAATCATTCCGGGGGAGGGGGGATTCTTTAAAATATACAGCCCTAATTTATAAATAAATTGATTGAACTTGATTTAGGAAATAAAAGTATAAAAACACCAAATATTGATCAGCTCAGTGCTGAAGGGGCTAAGCTGACCCATCACACATCGCCAGCAGTGTTCTGTACTCCGAGCAGAGCAGCTTTTCTGACGGGAAGATATGCAGTCAGGTAGGCAATCGTGTAGTTGCTAGGGGAGGAAGGCCGTTGTTCTAGGGGAGGAAGGCAGTTTTGCGAGGAGAGGAAGGGAAGCCTCATCAATCCTACATCTGAGCCATTTTTCAAAGGCTATTTATACTGAGATGAAAACTAGAAGTTGCCTCAAACTTATATGTTTAATAACCCCTCATATCTTGAAACGTGATGGTGTACAACTTTTTATTTCAAATTTTTAGCTTACAGAACCTATATTTTGAAAGACCTCCGACGTCAGATGGTAATAATATAAGGATTAGAAATTCGAGTTTGGGGCTAGTACTCAGTTCTTTTTTTAATTATTTTCTTGGCTCAATGCGTATAAGATTTATAAACCAGTCTTAACAATAAAAAAGATGTCCCTGGGCAAAATTGATAAATTCTTTCTGCCATGGTAACCTTAGCTTTTTGTCCTTGAAATCTGTTTCACTTCTATTTCAACTTGAGCTAAGCTTCTACCCTCTTATGAAGAGAAGGGCTTGCCTGATTTACAAAGGTACCCTTGAAACATTAATCTGATCTCCATTGCGCAAGTCACTTATGTACAGAAACAACGAATAAAAATTATGATGGTTCAAAAGCACAAATAATGATATCTAGTCCATACTTGAGCAGCCAAAGGTTTTAAGGGCACCATTGTCAAACGGACATGACACTCGATCAATGGAGATATACATTTTACTGTGTTTACTCTATAACTTGGTTTCTCTAATAGACATTTCTTAAGTCTTAAAATAGTCAACCTCCTTATTGAATGATATTGTATCTCAGAACAATTTTCTAAATAGTGAAAAATCCCTTTTTATGTAGGAGTGGCTTGACTAGTGTACCCAGGTCCCCACCTGTAATAGTTTACGCATCTGGTACAGCAGGACTACCCAGGTACATAGTACTCTAGTGTACCCTCATCTGGTACAGCAGGACTACCAAGGTACATAGTTCTCTAGTGTTCCCTCATCTGGTATAGCAGGACTACCCAGGTACATAGTACTCTAGTGTAGCCTCATCTGGTACAGCAGGACTACCCAGGTACATAGTATTTTAGTGTACCCTCATCTGGTACAGCAGGACTACCAAGGTACATAGTACTATAGTGTACCCTCATCTGGTACA